ACCTTAGCCGAAGGCAGAAGCTTAATCGACTGAGCCACCCAGGCGCCCCTCTGACTCTGATTCTTAAGCAACCATTTATCTGATTTCTGTCTCTGTAGATTTATATTTTCTGGAAATTTCATATGAATGGAATCATATGAAATGTCTTTTGTATCTATCTATCTATCCTTTTCCCTTAGCATACTGTTTTTGAGGTTCATCCATGTTGTAGTATATATCAATAGTTCATTCCTTTTTATTGCCATAGTTATTACATTATGTGAATATACCATATTTTGTTTATCCATTCACCAGTTGATGGACATTTAGGTCACTTCCATTTTTGGCTAGTAGGAATAATGTTATAAAGATTCTTATACAAGTCTTTTTGTGAACATATGTTTTCATTTCTCTTGAATAGATACTTAGGAATGATGTGGCTGGGTCCTATAAATCTATGTTTTAACTCTTTCAGAAACTGCCAAACTATTTTCTAAAGTGATGGCACCATTTTATATTCCAGCAGCAATGCGTGAGGGTTCTAGTTTCTCTCTATTCTGGCCAATACCTGTTATTGTTAGTCTTTTTGATTACAACCATTCTGATCGATGTATAGTGTAACCTCATTTGGTGTTAATTTGCATCTTTCCAGTGACTCATGATGTTGAGCAACTTTTCAGTGTTGTTATTAGTCATTTGTATGTCTTCTCTTGTGTAATGTCTGTTCATATATTTTGCCCTAGTTTAAATTTGATAATTTGTCTTTTTACTGAGTTGTAAGAGATTTGACGTATTCTAGATACAGGTTATTTTGCTTTGTTGAAGAGCAAAAGTTTTTGATGAATTCATTTTATCATTTTTTTCTTGTGTGGATTTAGCTTTTGGTGTATTTAAGAAATCTTTGTTTGATTCAGGGTCACAGAGATTTTCTCTTCTTGAATAGGAATCAGCAAACTACCCTCTGCGGACCACATCTGGCCCACAACTTGTTATTGTAAATGTTTTATTGGAACATAGCCATCCACACCCACTCATTTACATATCACCTGTGGCTGCTTTCTCTTTACAGTGACAGTTGAGTAGTTATGGAGATTGTATGGCACTCAATACCGAAAATATTTATTATTTACTTTGTGGACCCTTTAAAAAGATTGTTGCTGACCCCTGTTCCAGAAGTGTTGTTATTTTAGCTCTTATAGATATGTCTGTTACCCAATTTGAGTTAATTCTTGTATGTGGTATGAGGTAAAGATCTAAGTTCACCTTTTTTTTTTTTTTTATGGTTATTCAGTTATTCCAGTACCATTTGTTGAAAACACTATCCTGCAAGTAATGAGTCATTTTCCTTTTGCTGCTTTTAAGATTTTCTCCATGTCTTTGACTTTCATCAGTTTTATTACAGTGTATCTAGATGGGTATCTCTTTGTGCTTATTCTACTTTGGGTTGTTGAGTCTCTTGGAACTGTAGATTAATGTTTTTCATGAAATTTGGAAAGTTTTCAGCCATTATTTCTTCTAGTAGTTTTACTGTACCTCTTTTTGGGACTCCTGTTGTATGCATCCTGGTATGTTTGATGTTGTCTACAAGTCTCCAGTGCTCTGTTCTTTTTTCTTCAGGTCTTTTTTTTTCTCTCTACAGATTGATGATTTATTTTATCTTTAATTTCACAGCTTCTTTATGTAATATTTTCAGACCATCTAGTAAATTTTAATTTCATTTGCTATACTTTTCAACTCTAAAATTTCCATTTAGTTCTTTTTAATAGCTTGCATTTCTTTGTTGATATTTACTACTTATTTAGTCATTGCCATATTTTAACTTTTTAAAGCATGGTTTCCTTGATTTTTTTGAACATATAATAATTATTTTGAAGTCTTTGCTAAATCTGGTCCCATGTGGATACAGCTTCTACTGGCTACTTTTTTTTTTCTTTTTCCCCTGAGAATGTGTTACACTTTCTTGTATTTGTGGTTCATAATTTTTTCTTAAAACTGGACTCTTAAAATCATGTATTATAGCAACTTGATTCTGGTTTTATTAAAATTTTCTACAGGTGGTAGGGGTGGTGGCGGTTGTTTCATTCGTTCTTCATTCACTTTTTTTTTTTTTTTTGAGTAACTTTGTTGGCCCTATATGCAGAATTTACCCCTCCCAAAATTGTGGCTACTGATGTATCTCCTCAGCTTTTCAAAATTTCTTATAATTTGGCTTTCTAGAGTTCACCTTTGTGTCTGCATTGCTTAGTGCTTAGCTAATGATTGGTTGGAGGTTGTGATTGAACACCTTGGGCCGGTAAGGCTTTCATCCTCTGCTGGTGGATTAGGTATAGTTTGGGGAGCATATTCAAAATTTGGGCCATTTTCTAGCTTGCCTCCTTTCCTTTCTGTTGGGTCTTCTCTGGTCTCCCTCTGTGTGCACGCGGATTTCCAGTCAGCCTGGGTTGTGTGATGTTGGTTTCTCTCAGGTCTCCACTTTCCCTTGGGCATGCTCTCCTAATTAGCTGGCATTTTGGGGTAGCTTGGGACCTTATGGGTCTCCCCTGCACATATGTGCTTGCTGCCTTCTACTCAGACGGGGTTATGTGGAGGGCATCAATCCTTTCCTCAGAATATGTGAATTTATCGGGTCCCTCTGTGGCTCTCTTCTTTCCAGAATCTCCCTGTTAAATTTCTAGGTAGTCCTCAGGTTTGTGGCTTGCCGCCACTGGTGCTGTAATCTCAGGCTACAAGAGCTACAGGCCTTTCTGTTTCCTGCTGGGTGTGAGTTTTCTGCTCTTAGCTCCAAATCAAAGTCAGCTCCCTTGAGCAATGAAGCTGCTGGTTTTCACAGCCAACCTCATCATATTGGTGGAGTGGGGCAGGGGGATGGAGATAGCTCCTGGTAAGAAGCCAGACTCCTACTGTTCTTCCCAAGAAGTTCAGTTATTTTACATGAATAAACTGTTCTTACTGTGTTTTTTGCCTGGTTAATTTCTAGAGCACAAAATGGTTTTTTTGTTTTTTGACAGTTTTGTAATTATTTTTTGAGGGTGAGATTTTGTACACCCTCGCTGGGGAAGACCAAATTGACAACTTGAATTCTAAAATCTAGGAATATTACATTTCAAAGCCAGATGTTCTTTTTTCTAATTCATACTTTGTGGAAATACAGAACAACAAGTAAATTTTTTTTTTTTTTTTTTGAGAAATAACAAGGAGGTAGATGTTGATTCAAAGCTTAGATTTCTAAGTATGAGCCTTTTACTTTGGTATAGATAGATTTGCAAGCTGAGGCTGAGGGTAAGTGAATGGTTTGGTGGCTCTGTGGAATCATAGACATGTATTATTTCTTTAGAGTGAGCCAACGATTGTTGACAAAGTACTTTCCCGGTAGTGTTTCTTACTTCATAGCAATTTTAAAAAATAGATACTGTAATTATGATCATTTTACAGATAAGGAAATACATTTTTAGGTTAGTAATTTACCCACCCTCTCAACTTTTATTATGTGACGGAGATGGTACTTGAACCTATTTCTTCTGGCTTCTTGTTTTTTATACTCTATGTAACTGCGTCCCTACCATGTTATATAATTACTTACATACTCCTTGATGATCTTAATTTATTTATTTATGTAGATAGTACTTGAAGTTAGAACAGTTCATAACAATCTTCTTGAATTTTTACTAGAGCTCAGATTCTTTCCTTTCAAATGATAATCACTCTTAACTTATTGAAGAGCCCCTATTCATTCATGCAGTTGTTCAGCAAACTGGTAAAAGAGTCAGAGAAAGAGATATTCCATGGCAGCTTCCTCTGCCAGCTTCCTCTTTTTTTCTTACTCCATAGATGCAGATTCTGCCCAAGAAGCCCCTGCATTGCAGAGGGACTGGAGATCTGTATGATCTGTTTATTTCGCAATTGACAAGGGTAAGGGGGTCTTTCTGGGGGAGGCGCTTGGGTGCCCTGAATTTAGCTTTATGAAGCTGGGCTAACACTTATTTTGGGAATAAACTTAAACTTAGTATTTTTAAAAACTCTTTTATGAATTCTGTTTGTCCTACATCAGTTAAGTGTCAGATTATCATATTAAAAAGCATTTATTATAATGGTGATTTTTTTTTTTTTTTTTTAAAGTCCTGTTCAGAACAAGTCAGACAAACATGATTCACGCTTCTAAAATTCCAATCTGGGATCATTTAGAATATAAATAATATTGAATATATGTAAGTAAAATTTCACTGTAATGAAAATTTTAAAAGGCTTTGGATGAACATCTATTTCTATAGCCCATCATAGTTATTCTTTATTAATCTGCTCTGTTCCTTTTCCATAAATCTGTCAATCTGTAGAGTGAAAAAGGGACTTGTGGGTATGTCATAAACATTGTGGGTGGGTGTGGTGTCTTTTTCTTGCTGCTAGAAATTAATACCTACTTCCTTGAATTCTATGTCCACCCTAGATGCCAGTGAAATTTGAGTTATATCTTCATACTGTCCTGTATCTGTTTATTAGTGTAGGTAAAAGGTGCAGTTGGTGTTTCTTATGGGAGCCAAGATTAAGTTTTGTAGGTCTCACTTGGCAGGTTTATAAAGTGCCAGAAGTGGTGGTATTTATAAAAGGATAGGATTAAAATATTGAGGAAGAGTTTAATGCTCTTTTAAAATTGCGGAAGGATTAGGCAGATGATTGTAGCTTTGATGGGTAGTTGAGAAGACTTGACTTGGTGATGGTCTGATGGGCTTATTTTTGTATTTGAGGACATTATTACACCTGCTAGTAAAATAGCTTTGTTTACCTAAAGAAGTATTGTACATTTCTGTATTTAAATAGATATTTTTAGTATTCTGTGTCTCTCTTATTTTTAAATGGTCTTCTTTAAACATTTCATTTATAGATTAAAAAATTCAACAGTATGTATCTTACTATTACCATTATTAATAAATGTTCCACTTTTTAGTGCCAACACATTGGAAAACTACTTTTATTCTTCTACTTCTTAAATGACTTTTTTTTTTTTTTCTTTTTCTGTTTTCTTTAAGCCATAAGGATGAGTTTACCATTATTCCTGTACTGGTTGGAGCTCTGAGTGAGTCAAAAGAACAGGAATTCGGAAAACTCTTCAGTAAATATCTAGCGGATCCTAGTAATCTCTTTGTGGTTTCTTCTGATTTCTGCCATTGGGGTAAGTTCTAGATTTTAACATATTATGGTAGATAATATATACTTGTGGTTAATGGTATCTTTTCACTCTAAGCTCTGATTTTCAGTTCCTTATCACTTCCCTTGGAAAGTTTTACTTTTATCTGCAATGTTTAAAAGTGAATAAAAAAGTCTTTTAAAAAGGATCAGATTATGATAGTGGATTATGGATACATTTCCAAAGGCGACTGGTATAATTGGATTCACACTGTGAGGGCATCCTTGCTTAGCCACTTACATTAGTGGGAGTTAAGATCTTTTAACCCTATTTGCAGGTTGAGTTGAGTGGTAGATTCTCTGAAGTTAGTTTTTTTCGTAGATATAACAAATACTCTTCTTTAGAAGGTAGAAGAGCACTGTGTGCTATGCCAGTCCTTTTCCACATTTCTTTTTTTGTAATTAGTGTTTTTTTCTTTCTACTTTTCCTTTGGTACTTAATTTTTGCCATCAGTTTAGAACTACCCTCCAAAGAATGTAACATGTTGGCTATTAGCATTGTGGTCTTCATTGGTAATGGTTTATAAGGGTAAGGACTCTTAAGTGATTTTTGTTATTGTGAATAAAGAGAGTAAGGAAACTTCACAGTAAATAGATCATAAAGAAAGACATTTGTGGATGCCTCTTTGAGTAAATTTTATTTTTTGAATCTTTGAATATAATTTGCTCTCCTTTATCCATTGCTGTTCTAGAGTATTTTTGAATCCTTTTCCTTTTAGGACATCTCTCATTGGCTTGAGGATGCCAATATCTGTTCATCCTTCAGTTATTTCTTTGATTATAGAGAAAACATAAGGCACAGGACTATAAATTTTAAGATAGAGTACTAGAATGGCCAGAAAAACATTCTCAATGAGATATAGGGAGCCCTGGCTTTATGTGTCTTAAGCATTGATTACCAGAGTTGACTCAATATCTGTCCTGGTTAGGCTGGTATTTTCTCTTACCTTGCTCTGTGAATGGCGTTGAGATCATTTTAAGAGAGCCATCCTTCCTTATAGATAAGTATTTTGGTTTAAGGCACTAATTTCTCATCTGGGGCTGATTGTCTTATGAGGGGGCATTTGGAAATGCCTGGAGACATTTTTGGTCATTACAGCGAGGTGGGGTTGGAAGTGGGGATGCTTTAGGCATCTACTTAGTGGAGTCCAGAGAAGCTGCTAAATAAACATCCTCTAGTGCCCAGGACAGTCCTCATCAAAGAATTATCCTGCCCAAAATATCTAGTGCTGAGGTTGGGAAGTCCTGGCTTAGGGTATGCAGGTAGGTATGCTGCCTTACCAAACTCCCTAAGAGGTTCTCAGGGTTCTTTAATAATCAATTCTATTGACTAATTGGTTTGCTACCTTTGGCAGAAGTTATTTTTTATGGATTATAAGTATATTACTTAGATGTGAGGACTGGGTAGATGCTTGGAAATTCTGATGTTTAGTCATAGTTGATCTTAAAAACTAAGGAGTATCATTGTTGAAAAAAGGGTATTTTTCTTAGTATTGTGAATTTGCGTTGGTAATAAAGCATGTCCATATGTTTTAGAAATTAAAAATTCTTGAAGCATGTGTCCCCTCCCTCTTCACTTTTAAGGCTCTTATGAATCACTTTCAATTACTTTTATGATTTAAATAATCAGTTCCCCTGATACTGTTCTTTAGAATCTGGGTTCTCCCTCAAGGTTGGTACCATGTGCGATCATAGCATAAATCCACACAAAAATCAGTAGATGCTTTAAAATTGCTCTTTTCTGTTGAATCATTCTTTTTACCTCATTAATGAGTTCTAAAGCAAACAAGCCCTAGTCCAAATACTGTATTTAAGTACAATATTGAGAGAGAAAGATGAATTTTATAGTCTACCTAGATTCTTGGAAAGTTATTTAGGCCATTTGATCTTCTGTGTTGTAGAAAATTTTGGCATTTAAATTGTAAGCTAGGATTTCCTGGTGCTAATTACAAATAAGAACTCAAAATTTCCAAAGGTTGGTAGATGTTAGTTATGAGAATTATCCAGAGACTAAAACATATTTATATTTACATTTGGTGGTTAAGTAATAGAACTTTTCCAAGTGTTTATTTTTTTAGTATCACTATCACTAACAATACTCATTAAGTGCTTACTTTGTACTTATGGAAAGCACTGTACTAATTCTTATCAGGAAATTCGATGAAGATCTGGGGATAAGTGGAAGGTGTTGCATGGATACTATTCCAAGATTGGTAGTTTCCCTTCTACAATAGTAATAATAACCATCATTCTTGTAAAGTAAGATTCATTTTCTATTTTATATGCCTAATTGAAGTAATATGAATAATTGGCTAGTTATGGGTTAAAATGTCTTAGAAATTTTCATATTTCTCAAATTTCATGCTCTGGTGACATTGGTCATCTTTTTTTTTTTTTTTAAAGATTTTATTTATTTATTTGAGAGAGAGAGAACACATGAGAGGGGATAGGGTCAGAGGACGAAGCAGACTCCCTGCCGAGCAGGGAGCCCGATGCGGGACTCGATCCCGGGACTCCAGGATCATGACCGGAGCCGAAGGCAGTCGCTTAACCAACTGAGCCACCCAGGCGCCCTGGTCATCTTTTCTAAATTAATGAATGTTATACTTCCATTTCAAAAATCTAGTTTTTTCTTCTGAGGATATTTCTTAATGGTTTCTCCTTCTTCTTCTTGTCCTTCTTCTTCTTCTTCTTTGTAAGGATACTATATAAATTGATTTTACCATATCAAAGTAATGATACCACTGAATTAGAAATCATTTCACAGGAAGAATTCAGCTCCTCACATACTCAGAGATATTAAAAGTTTCATTGAGTTAAGCTGTCAACACCCTGTACATTTCTAAATAGCTGATTTTTGAGGAAAAATCACTTAATTGATTATGGTACAGTTGACAAGTTACTCAGATGCCTACAGTGGAATTTCGTTTTGTTTAATAATGTATTAGACTACTAGCAGTGACAACATTTTTCATTTCTAGTCATTATTTCTATTATGTCCAGCTTCTGTTAAAAATAAGGCAAGAGGTTTGGTGATAGAGACAGTGATTGGAAGGGTTTTGCCTGGTTGATTTTACTTGTTAGCCAATATCCATTACAAGAATGACTTTATTTTTTTTAAGTGTACTTTGCTTTAAAGATTTTCGTCTTTCAGATCCCATTTAAATTTTATAAGGACTTGAAAAAGACATCAGAGAGAGAAAAAGTAGGAAAATTAAAATATTCTCAAGTTTTCTTTTTGGGTGGGAAAAGCTAAGGGAGAGTGGGAACCTAGATTCTATTATGCCCCTTCTTTTTGTCCCTTCATTTGAATACCCCACCCCGCCAGAAAAAAAAAAAAACCTCACCATTTCAATTTCTGTCTTTTATTTTATCGTTAGTCTGAACCACATGAAAATTAGTCAGCCCAATAGGGTGATGTTTCCTAGTTAACACTTGATGATCTACCTCATTTCACCCTTCCTGCTACTACCAAGGATTGTGGTCTAAGTGAAGGACATTTGCTGCTAGTATTTGATTTTTACTATGGTTAGGTAATGTTATCTCCATACTTTTTCTGATCAAGTTTCTTGTCCTATAAGATGGCTCCATATAAGAGAATTTTGACTGGGCCTATTTTAGTTTTTCTAGTTGGTGGAATTTTCATTCTGTTTTCCTAACTTTCGTTTTTGCTCTTCTCCATATATATAATATATACTGTTAATATTTATGCTTTCCTGATCTCCCTGAAATTTATATTTTCACATTTAGATTATTGACAGCTTTCATTAACATAATTTCTAATTAACTTCTAAGAAGTTTCTAAATGAAACTGCATCTAACAGAAATTGATTTTTTTAAAGTCGATTCATTCTACTTAATTTTCCTTTTATGGCAGTTTTAAGTGCAAATTAACTTCAGTAAATTTACTTGGTAAATGTTAATGATAAATTATTTTATTAAAATATGAATAAAATTTACTACACTCACTTCAGTTTTGGATTTTTACATATAAACTTATATTTGTCTAGGTTTACATAATTTCTTTTTTATAAGTATGTGTCACCTATCAAAAGTGGCATTCCCCAGAATATTTATGAATTTTTATCTTTATTCAGATTTCTAGTTTAATATATATATTAACAAGTGATTATTCATGCCTGTTCTTTTTTCCTTTCTGTTGTTAGTCTCTTAGGTACCTAAGGTATTACTGTTTTCTAAATAATTTCAATTGGTTTAAGTATAAGTTAGCTAATTCCTGAAATACATCTTATCCAAGCTTTCATATTTGTCTTCTCAAATTTTATACATACTAATTCCACATATTTAAATTTTTGATCTTTTGAGGGAAGACTAATACTTTTTTTACATTATGACTAAGACTTCAGAATGAAAGGACTGTAGTTTTTCACGATTTCAATTACGAATGTCCCCAGTTTAGGTCCTTAGTATAAAATGACCTAATAATCTATCTCATAGGTTGTTGTGAGGGTTAACTCAATTGAAAATGCTTTAACATATAAAGTGATTAAGTGATTGTGTAACAGTACAATTTTTACTGGACATATGTCTGAAAGTCTGTTTTGTTCACTAATCTTTTTGGGGGCTTTAAAATCAACTTTCCAAGCTCATTGTTTATTTCTGCAATCCAGTGTTTAGCTTAATGTTGAGGTATTTGATATTTTTTTACTTTTTGTTTTGAGGTACTTAAAAAGTAGTGTTGGTTCTTGTAAACCATTCATTGTTATGTTTGTCCTCATTAGTTGATTGTTGTGTGTTAAACAGACATCCCTGGAGCTTACTCTCCACACTCTGTGAATCCACTCATTAATCACCAGTCACCTTTGGAGATGGGAAAATTACTTACCTGTATTTCTTTTTCTCAGAAAGCGTGCTCTGGAATGGATTCACAAATGAGCTACCCTCCTTCCCTCAAAGAGTAAGGTTTCTGCTTTACAGGATTTTTTTTCTTGGGTTATTTTTCCTCTCATCTTTTGAATTTGAAAAGAACTGAGGGAAGGCACCTGAAGAAACTACTGACATACTCACTAGGGGAGCTCCAAAGCTTGTGCTGCCCCTAGGGGCAGTGTCAATGGCTCTTAAAGCTAGAAAGCTCATACTTGGAGTTGAAACAGGGGCTCAAAGAATCCATTTTCCCAGTGTACCTTCTGAAAGGATAAGTTTCAGGTAAGTAATTTTCTCTTACTATGTGATATGCTTTAGTCATACTTATAAAAGTATACAAGTCCAGTTCTCCAGGTACATAGGCAACTGTGTTTGCTCAGTTTAGATGCATAAGCTTTACTGAATGTTAGAAGTATTATAAAACAAAATGTCTGCTCATGAGTTACACGAAATCATAACATATTTTAAATCAACAAATGTTTGATTAAAGGTGCATTTATGAACAGTGTATTGTGCTAGTGTTGTCATTTCTTTTATTTCTCATTAAATAAAATCTTGATAAGCTTCTTTTTAATAATTAGATACAAAAGATTTTTTGCATTCAAATTCCAAGAGGTGTTTAACTGAAGTTGTGTGTGTGTGTGTGTGCGTGTGCATCTGCACACACCTCCCCCACCCCCACCCCCACATACAGGCTAGGATGATGGAAACTATTTACTTTGAATTAGATGCTTTTTGTATGTATATTGACCAGAATAATTACTCAAGTAATTTTTAAATGCTTGTGCAATTTTTAAAAATTATTCTAAGTTTGAGCTGTTTAAGTAAGCTACATTTTCAGTGTAGTAGCTTTATATAGTGTGGATTTAGCTACTTAATTGATATATTATTTAGAGCCCATAAAATATTTTTACTCGATTCTTCAACTACAAAATGCAAATACCTAAGGAGTAGCAAGAGGTAGATAGCAAAATGTTAAACATTTACTCATTGATTTCCTGTGCATTTTGTCATTCTTTTTAAATCACATGTTGATTTAGTATTTTAAAGTATTCAAAATATCTTATGTATTTTTCTCTTACTTCAGAAGTAGTTTTTAAGTGAAAGTTACAGTGAAAATGGTCCATGTGAACAAGGCAGTATTTCTAAATACAGTTAGACTTTTTACTTGTGATTAAGGCAGGTCTGACCAACTTCAGTCATTTGAAACAGCAGTTCTGAACTTGGAAATAAGCAGAAAAGACTTTCTAGTAGCAAATGGTTATCACAAAGTACATGCATTTTTCTCTGTACTTGAAGAGTAGCAGTTTTCAGATTAGATAGTTATGTCCCAGTCACAGGGATTATTGACAGCGAAAACTAACAGCTATCTCCTGAAACAAGGAAAAGAGAATGCATTAGTATAAGCCTGAAGTAGTTCAGATTCAAAGAATATTCATCTTGATTGCTTCCAAGGATATTACTCTTACTACAGTTGACAGCGAATCAGAAGTTTCTTGTCTAAGATTATTAATTTAATTGTTCATTCATTTCACAAAAGATTTGGGGCCACTCTATCAAAAGACCTTTGAAATAGAAGTAGAAATTTAGTACCAATGAATTGAGTCAAGAAGTTATTGCAACAGACTTTAGATTTGTCTTTGAGCTTTCCAATAGCCATCTGGCAAATAGGAAAAATAGGGTCAATTTATATAGTTCTCACTCTTAGGTAGGAGTAAATGTGTACATTCTGTAAAGAAAAGCAAAACTATACCTAACTCTAAATTTTGAAAGAAATGTCTGATGAATTATTTAATATAAGGGCATCATTGAGTGACGAATTGTCACTGTTTAAGAATTTTTTTTAGTGCAAGGACTGTAATGGATCTCATAGTTATGGCGACATGTAGTAATCCTCAATGTTTACAAAAATGGTTGTTATATTCAGAAAGCAGGTAATTGTCTCAGAACCTTATTGCTTGATTCTAGGATATCATGAATTATAAGACGCAATACTGATTTAATAGATTTTCTTGAGGGAAAGTAAGAACTGTTACATGAGTAATCGTACATATTAATGTATGTGTAAAGTTAAAATGTGAAAGTTAAGGAAATACAGTATATTCTAGAAAGATGACCATCAAAGATGATCAACATCAACAAGTAAAGAAGTGTTGAGAACTGTGATGTGTCTTTTTTTCCAAAAAAGAGCACCAAAAGAGTTTTACTATTTTGCATCGCTTATCATTTATAAGATGATGTTTTTTAGTAAGATAAACAGAGAACTTAAAAATCATAATTATGCAGCCAAAGAAACCCATCTTCCTAGGTGTGAGGATAATAATTGTATATGTGAACTTTGCTCTAAAAATGAAGCACAAGACACAGAGTGTGCATATATGACTGGTGTACTCACATACCTTTAAAATGCATTTTGGTGAATCTTTAAAAATAACTAAATATAAAAGTAATGAGTTCTAAGAAACATAGGCATCACAGAAATACAAGTGTAGATGTATCTGAAATACAACATAGTCAGTGGAATAACATACCACAATTATTTATGAATACATTTAACTTTTGGTTTTTATATGACTGTAGTAGGGAGCCAAATTTATTACCTGAGCCTTTTGTTTTCTGTCTTCTTTTCAAGCTTCTTCCAGTTTACCCTCTGTGTTTCTTGGAGAAGAGCTAAACATTGAATGTTCTGTGCTTGTACTCTTACTGAGATATTATTGTCAGAGTAGGACTATTATATTTATTCTTTTGTGCCTCCTGTTTTAAGGCATTTGTATTGATCTTTTTCAAGTAGAGAGTTTTGCAAAAATGAGATAAATATTTTTATTGAGGTCATAAAAATCATATAAGCCACATGTATCTCTGACCTGCACTTTTTTTTTTCTGTAATAGAGATCAAATCTTTGCATTTATATAGCAAAAGCTAAGCTTTCATTGATCTGTTACGTTGAGATAGTTTCCTTAAACCAGATTTCCTTGAATCATTTTCTTTGGGTTTACCTTCCATTACAGACTGATATAATATGTTTAACAATGCTTCTAACTTTTAAGCTGTTTTGTTTCCTTAGTCTTTTGTATTGCTTGTGACTTTAAGGTTCTACAGTTTGAAGTAGTTTTTAACATCATAAAACACTGGTGATATATCATTTCTTTATTACTTCCCAAATATGCCTTTTATTTTTATGTACAAGGGCTCTTGGGAATGATTCTCTCAGAGGCGTAAGCTGTGCTTTGCCTTCCATGAGAACTGAAATTATTTGGTAAGCGCTTGCTTTCTTTTTAGCTTCTAATTTTTCCCTATTTTATTTTGTACATGATATTTGTTTCAAGGTCAAAGGTTCCGTTACAGTTACTATGATGAATCCCAGGGGGAGATTTATAGATCCATTGAACATCTAGATAAAATGGTAAGTCTTACAGGTGTGGGGTTTTAATGCTCTAAGGTGTTTTCTTTAATTTCAGATTAGTGATTCAAGACTTAATATGTTGAAATATACAGTGGACTAATAATTCTTTCCCTATCTTTATTTAACTAAATGTGCAAAATATAGTTTACAATCATATGAATATTGATTATAAAAATAATCCCTTTTCTATTAGTTGAAATTTCCTTTATCTTAATTTTATTTGATTAATGAGACTAAGAATAATATACAGATTTTAGATGCTATTTGGGGGAGTGTCTAAGGTTTAGGGATGACAGGATACTAATGCCATTACTTACTTTTAAGCAGAAACAACCGTAGCAAATTCTTAGTTTATTTTATTATTTAATTATATTTTTTGGCCATTTGGATTTTCTTAAATGGTGTTTCATTTTGTTGTTTAAATAGAGAATTTAAAAATATGATTGTATTCTTATCTGGCCCAGTACAATAGACATTGATCCTGCTGTCATTTTCCTTAAAGTAGTATGGTAGTCATAGTACTTGTTTTCATAGTTAAAAAGTCATGCAAATCATTTTGTTGTTTTTTTTAACTGATAAACAGAATATTAAATATAGCGGATATATCACTTACTGGCTTTGATCTTTGACAGATCATTTCAGTTCTCTAGTCTTCAATTTGTCATCTCTAAGATAAGAGACTTGGAATAGGTGGTCTCTAAATTGTCTTTAAACTCTGTCAGACTTAAAGTCTATGATACGTTTGAAATCAACTTTACCACTGTTTGAAAAGCTTTATGCATATGTTTTAGTATAAAAATATTTAGTCTAAAGTAGATAAAACATTTTAGTAAGGAATTTGGATCTAAAACTATAGGTAGGTTATACCTTGTATATTTTATTAAAAGCCAAATGGAATGAATGCAGATTTAGTTACCTAGGAGATTTTATTATATTTAGATTTTATCATATTCAAATTTATCTTGTTACTTAGATCCAATTATGGCCTAATACTTTTACCTTTAGAATTTTGTTTGGACTTAATCTACTGACTTTTCTTTTGGCTTTATGATGTCATGTCAGTCATTTAATTATTTTCTGGCTTCTAGTTCTGATCTTATTTTTCTGAGGCTTAGTTTTCAGTTGCCTCAGAGAACTTTTCTGGTTACGTCATCATTTATTTTCTTCATGTAGCAAGTGGTTAATGGGTGTCTCCTGTGTGTCTGGTACTGTGTGAAATACCGAAGCTGTTAAGAAGATAAAACATTGTCTCTCACTTAATAGAACTTACAGTGCAGTCATTGAACAGACTTAGAAAGAAGCTATTCCAATACAGAGATGTAAGAGATATTTAGGACACATGCTCTCCTTGTTCTGTGAGAATGATCTAGATGTGCCTATCTTAGGGCTTTGGCCCTTTTTATACTTGACTGTCTGACTTTGTGGCTTTGCTCAGCTTTACCTTCCCAACAAGGCGCACCGACTGTACTGTTTAATTTTGCATCAGACACTCCACCTTCTCAGCATTCCCAACCTACCTTACCCTCCTGCAGTTTTTCTTTCAACAAACTAAATATTCTACTTATTATAGTTTTGTTAGTCAGGATATTTATTTTGTTCTCTGATGTATCCAAAGTGCTTAGAATAGTGATTAGAACATTAGTAGGTGCTCAGTGAATATTGTTCAAGTGAATGAAATAATATAATCTTCCTATATACATAATTAAATTAAGTGAATACCCCAACTGTAATATGAGAAAGGAATAAAGGGAAAGTAATTTATGATAAACTAATATATTTTTAATAATGTAAGTGCCCAAATACCAACTATATTAGAAGACACTATGAAATAGATGCTTATTACACATTGTATCATTACTATAATAGCTGTCATTCCAAACCTAAACAGTTATTTTATGTTTGTGACTCATATTACTAAGGTGCTTTGCTGGGTGACTTGATTTTCCAAAATGGTGAGCAATCTTTAGTAAAGTTGTAAACTAAACAAAGTACAGCCTTCCCTTACTTTATATGGATATGGCAATTCCTTGGAAATCTACTGTATATTAAAACCATCCAAAACTTCTTAGTATTTATGTATAAAATAGAGTTAAGGGTCTAGATAATTATAAGCAGGTTTTTCACCCATATGGACATGTCAAGAGTGTTATGGGATGAGAACAATTATTTGTGTGTGGGACTATCTTGTATTATAGGACAATCAGCGTCTCTGGACACCACCCACTAGCATCTTCTAATTATTGGGACAACCCAAAAATGTGCCCACAGTTTTCCATTATGCCCCTATGGTAAACAGTTGTTCCATGACCTTACCCTGCTTAAGTTTTCTTCTCAGTTTTAATTACTCTGTGACTTATTATTTGATGATTTGTCTGGTAATAACCTCCCCTGATGGATTGTAAGCTTCATGAAATCAGGATCTTTGTCCATTTTGTATCAGCCTTTCACCAGGTACTCAATATATATAGTTGTTGAGTGAATCAGTGGATGAATGGGTGGGGGTAGTGGTGAGAAATGAAGCTAGAGAATCTAGAATAGGCTGTTTATTTTATTTATTTTAAAGGTTTTATTTTTTTTATTTGTCAGAGAGAGAGAGAGCGTGTGTGTGCGCACATGTACAAGCAGGGGGGAGTGGCAGGCAGAGGGAGAAGCAGACTCCCCACTGAGCAGGGAGCCCGACATGGGGCTTGATCCCAGGACCCTGAGATTGTGACCTGAACCCAAGGCAGACACTTAACCGACTGAACCACCCAGGCACCCCTGGAATATGCTGTTTAAAGGGTATTAAATAGGAAAGTGATAAAATCAGATTGTATTTGAATAGATCATATAGCTGCAGTGTAGCAGGTAGGTTGGAGGGAGGTCAGAGGAGAAATGAGTAGACCAGTTTGGTAATCCAGGTGACAAATGGTAATTTAGACAGTGGATGGGGTGGTGATGGTGGAAGAGAGGGGCAGAGTGGATATATTCAGTACATAAGAGACAAACTGATGATAGGAGTTGGAGATTGATTGAACTTGCCGGGGAAGGAAGTATCAAGAATAACTCCTAAATGTCTGGCTTATGCTGCGGGTTGGGTGTTGGTACTGTTCACTTAGGTTTAAAGCACGAGAAGATAGGACTGATGTTTTAGGAGGTAGGGAAATCATAAATCATACTAGGGATATGTTATATTTGCTGTTGCCTTTAGGACATCCAATGTCAAGTTGGCATTTGGATTTTCATTTTGCCAATTATTATTATTATTACTATTATTTTTAAAGATTTTATTTATTTATTTGACAGAGAGAGACACAGCGAGAGAGGGAACACAAGCAGGGGGAGTGGGAGAGGGAGAAGCAGACGTCCCGCTGAGCAGGGAGCCCAATGCGCGGGGTTCCTTCCACATGACCTGAGCCAAAGGCAGACGCTGAACGACTAAGCCACCCAGGCACCCCATTTTGCCAATTACTTTTGAGTGCACTTATAGTCCTAGGCACCATTGGAGATATGGCAGTAAACAAACACACTTTCACACAACTTTTATTCTAACGGGAGGAGATACATTTTTTAAAAAAGTAAGGATATATATGTTAGTTTCCAAAAGTGATGTGCACTGTACAGAAAATATTGAAAGGGTTTTGAAATAGTGAATGATTCAAGTGATTGGTGGTTAACTGATTGGAGAAAGACTCCCCTGAGGAGAAACATTAAACCGAGGTAGAGATGATAAGAAGGAGCAGACCAAGTAAAGATCAGAGGAAAGAATATTATGGACTGAAGGAGTTGCCTGTGCAAAGTCCTTAAGACGGGAAAGAGGCTGGGTGTGAAGAAAAGAAAAAAAAAAGGCCAGTGTTGTAGGAGTACAGTAGACAAGGGTAGGAGTGGTACAAGCTGTGGCAAGAGGGATAGCCAGGGATTGGATAATGTAGGGCTTTATATTCCAGGGTAAGAAATGTATGTAAGTACACAGAAATGATGTAGTTACATTTTTTAATTTTATTTTTTTAAAGATTTTATTTATTTGAGAGAGAGAGAGACCGAGAGAGAGCACGATTGGGGGGAGGGACAGAGGGATAGGGAGAAGCGGACTCCTCTCCTGAGCTAGAAGCCTGATGTGGGGCTTGATCCGAGGACCCTGGGATCATGACCTGAGCTTAACCAACTGAACCACTCAGGAGCCCCTAGTTACATTACTTTAAAGGTCACTCTGGTGGTTGTGTAGAAAATGGATTCTACACCAGGTCCAGGAGCAGTAACAGTGGGCATGGGCAGTAGCTTAGTGGGGAGAGGATAGTAACTTCGACTGGGGTGGCATTCGTGGATATGGAAAGAAGTTGGTAGATTTGAGATCACTTTCAGAAGTATTTTCAGAAGGGCTGTGCTATGGAATTACACTGGTTGGAAGCCTGAAGAAGAGGCCTGCAGTAAGTTTGAGAGGTCTGGAGTTCAGTAAGTAACATGTAGATGGTAATTAGAGCCAGGGCAGAGAGGAGATTGTCTACTCTAGTAATCCTTAACCTTGTCTTTACAATTTCAATCACCTGTGGGGCTTTTTCAAAATAGGCTTGCCCATAGTGCCCCTGGAGATCGCCTTCTGGTAGTATGCAAAGAGTCCCAACATCTTTTTATTCCTAAATTTGCTTTGTAGGTGAATTTGAACTGTCCTGCAATGGCCCCTAATCTTTTGAGTAGAACAAATTTCCTATCTATCTCCTCTTGTTTTCTGTTCAGCTCTTTAAATCATTTGTCAACTTTAATTAGGCAGCATTTAATTTTGCACACATAAAAATTTGTAAATCCGTGAATTGATGCTGTTAGCACAGAGAGATGTTTTCTCTAAAACATTAGTTTACCTGGTACTCCAAAGTCACCGAACATAATAGCATCCTTTGGAACTCTTTAAAACTGTGGTCACATTTAAACACTTTAGTATTATTTTACTGATTATTCTATGTGTTATGTATAAACATCCAAACTTAACTATTCTTTTAGTCTTCTAATTCTGTATTGATAGCTTA